TCATCAATATCAACATCATCAAGATCGAATAAATGATCATCATCATCATACAAATCATCCGAATCATCACCGTCATCATCATCATCATCCTAATCATCATCATCAACATCATCATCATACAAATGATCATCATCATCACCATCCAACTCATTATCACCTTCCAAATAATCATCATCAAATTAATCATCTTCTTCCTCATCATCATCATCCAAATCATCATCATCATGATCGTCTGAATCATCATTATCATCATCATAATCAATGCATAATAATCATCATCCGAATCATCATCATCATCATCCAAATAATCATCATTATAATCATCATCATCATCCATATCAACATCATCATTTTCATCAACATCCGAATCATCATCATCTAGAACATCAACATACAATTCATCATAACATCTACCAATTCATCATCATCATCACCATCATCATCACCGTCATCCGAATCATCAACATAATCATCATCATCATCATCATCAGCATCATCATAATCATCATTATCCTGATCATCATCATCATCATCAAAATCATCATCATCAACATCATCATAATCCAAATCATCATTCAAATCACCATCATCATCCATATCATCATCATCATAATCCAAATCATAATCATCACCCAAATCATCAGTATCATCATCATCATCCAAATCATCATCATCATCAATAAAATTATCATCAAAATAATCATCATCAACTAAATATATTCATCGTCAAAATCATAATCATCATCATTTTCCTAATCATGATCATCATCCAATTTATTATCATCATCATTCAAATCATTATCAACATCATCAACATCCAAATAATCATCATTATCATCAATATCAACATCATCAAGATCGAATAAATGATCATCATCATCACACAGATCATCCGAATAATCTAAATTATAATAATCATCATCATATTAATCATCATTATCCTGATAATCATCATCATCCAAATCATCATCATCCAAATCATCATTCAAATCATCATCATCCAAATCATCATCATCATCATCCAAATCATAATCATCACCCAAATCATCAGTATCATCATCATCATC